GGAACATTCCTCTGGTCAGTTTGGATCAGCTGTCCTGGCCATGCTCCCACCCAGCTTCTTGTGCACCTCCTCACTCACCGGCAGAACATGGGAAACTGAAAAGTCCTTGATTTAGAGTGAGCAGTATTTAGCAACAACTAAAATATCAGTGTTACCAACAGTGTTCTCATACTAAATCCGAAACACAGCACTGTATCAGCTGCTTGGAAGAAAATTAACTCTACCCAGCCAAAATCAGGACAGGTCCACTTTGGCTTCTCAAAAATGGGAAGACTTCCAACTAAGCCATTTAAAAGTTTAATAATATTTTCTGTAATTTAAAAGCATAGGTAAAAGTGAGCCATATGATAACTGTCCTTTGAGCTCACAAACAAGTCACTTTTGAACAAGATATCATGAGGTTTATGTTGCCATCTGATAAAATGAAAGTTAATACCTGCAGTTCCAGATGTGATTTCAGATCTTTGATTTATACTGGATCTCTCAAAAAACCCCACAAAAGTAATCTATTTGTGATCTGTCTAAGCAGAAACAATCCAAGAAATTGAAGCTGATAAAGAATTTCATGTTTTGATATGGGTAAGGATCAGGCTTTTTATATTTTTAGAACTAAGTTAGTTTGTGATACTTAAGACTCCCATGTGAAAGAGTGAGAGTACTGGTATTACCATCATATTAACTACTAAGTCGGAACACAGTGGTGCATGTAATGCATATGAGTAGTATCATGTCAAATTCCAAAATTTATGAGGATGTTTTTGAGCAGATCTGGAACTTAGTCTTAGAAAATGACAAATGATGAAAAAAAGTCATGACCTGAACATACTCTGAAATGGGATAAAAAGAAAAGAAATTGCCATCAGCTAGGTAACATTTTGAGTAATGGCTATAAACCTGAAAACCTGAAACCTGAAGTGGGAAAAGTAAGATAAATCTGTTTAAAAAAAAAAAAAAAAAAAGAGTTCACCAGAGCTGTTCAAAGAGCAAATCTTCCCTTTTTATTTTTATCATGACATCTCTCTGTGTAAGTTGGGATTGGTCTGTTTGCCTTTAGTGATCCTGAGGCGATATGATAGCTCTACATTTTTACATAGTTAACGAAGCTGTGAGCCATGAGGCCAAACATCAGCTGAACATAGATCAGTAAACCCAAGCAGCTGGATAAAGCAAATTGAAAACTGTAGCAAACATATTACCATATGAAATAGTTACTCCATTCAGCATGGGAAGAAACCTCAGCTGAAGAACTTGAGAACATGTGTTTTTAGAAAAATGTACCCATTTGGACAAGAGAACTTAGAAAGCTATGTGAATTGGAGGGGTCCAGTAAATGTCATTTATGAAAAACACTTGTATGAATTATTGGTTAAATTTTGGTATTTAATGCTGCATTTTCAGCCCCCTGATTCTTGTTAATTTAACCTTTACCTTTTTGGGTTGACAGAAAAAATAACTATTGTTCTACTTACAGCTAAGAGTTTGTGTATGGTGCAAAAGCTTCTCTTCCTGATAATGGTTCCTTGCAAATTTCCAAAACAAATACAAAATGGATCTTTTGACTCATCTGTTTTATTGGGAAATTCAGTGTGCAGTCTAAATTGGGTAAATGAATGTTCTGTTGCAAATAATCTACGTTCTGTAGAAGGGAATATCAGACTATATGCAAAAGATGGAAAATGCAGATTTGTTAATTTAACTGAAATCAGGCACTTATTTCAGAATAAGTGAACTGGAAATCCTTCATATCTTCTTCTCTACTATGCCATTCTTTGTTTGAAAAAAGAAAATCAACTTTTTTATCATCTATTGTAGTAAAACAATCTGATTCAATAATATTGGAAAGAACACCAATGCAGACAACAGACAAGTGATTTAAAACAGATGTGAAATTCCCTCTGTGTAGAAAATTATAGGCATTGGTGATGACATTAGATGCATATGACTAATCACAGTTAATGCTTGCTGTTGCCAATTAGCTTTATTAGCACAAGCAATTTGAGCACAGCATGACATTACTTTAATTACTGTAAGCAGCTTGTTCATTTATTGAGTAGCATGCATTTAGAAAAGGGTTATTCTATCTGCAAATTAATCACAAACCTCTTTATCATGAGAAATTCAGGAACACTGAGGAAAAAAGGCTTTACCGTGCAAATAGAAAAAATGGGTGATAAAGTCTGGCAGTAATTTTAGTATTTTACTACTATTTTATTTTTTGATAAAAAGACAAAAGCTATTGTATGATTTCTGTCTGAAAGCTGGACATGAGTGAGACAAAATTACTACCATTAGAGATAAGGCAAGACATTATGACCATTAGGTGGTAGCAATGCAAAAAAAATCTTGTGAAAGTGAACAGCAAAAATAAGGCTAAAGGTATCTAGGAAACCAAAAACACCAACCCAGGCTCCAATCTGCACAAGAAACTTATTTTCTCCTTTTTATGTCATATGAAGATATGTTTGTTGGTCTGTAACATAGGTAAAAATTTGCAGATCAGAATACAATATTCAATGGGTGGAGTATGCATAATTTCATCAGCAAAACGCAAAAAGAGTCATCATGCAATTACGTTACTCAAAATTGCTATAGCGAATGAAACAGAGCTGCACTATGAGCTGATTGCGTTTGCACCACCACTCTGGCTCACAAAACTATTAGAGAAAAGAAAATCATGTTGATGTCTTGGAAACAAGAATTCAAAATAAAATATTTTTTTTCCCCTTTGTAGGCTTCCCCTAAGACTTTATAATATCTCAGAACTTTATAGTTCTTAATTTGAAAAGTAACAGATTCAAGAGACAAAACTTACATCTCCTTTATTTATGTCTGTCTGGTTTAGCAGGGAACATGGAAGTGCTGGGTTAATGGCCGGACTATGTGATCTTGGACATTTTTTCCAGGCTAAGTGATTCTATGATTCTAAGTACAATGTTGCATAAAGGAAGGTTGGGTGACTTACGCTTTGGTTTTCCTGTGGCCTGAGTCCACAAACCTCCTGTGAATTGTCCTTCAAATGAGAGGATACATTCAGACTATGTTTTCCACTGCATCAGCTCCGTGTCTGCTTTCAGTCCCAGGACATCTGCAACTCAAAATTTCTACTGACTTCTGACAAAACTGAATTTGCCAGCCTAAGTTTCTTTTCAGTAATGTCAATGGTTTTATTACACTTGCATGAAGGTCTAACTGTGATGATATACCTGTGTTCACAGAAGAATTTTGCTGGTAGAGCACTCAGATTGTGTATACCCACTACCCTTTGTTATAAGCCACTACACTAATCAGGCTGATTCTCGGCCTAAAGGATCTCCCCTTAAAGCCATCAGTGGAAAGGAAATGACACAGCTGATCCTTCAGTGGGCAGCTGCTCATCATGAGAGACAAGAAGTAACTCAGGATCAGAGCCACAAACATATTCTCTAATTGCATAAGCCACCCAACAGGCATGCCATGAAATGGATGACACTGAAGATGGATCAATTGCATTTCCAGATTTCTGTGTAATCAGATCTGGGAATAGGTACAATAATGTTGAGGACTGGAGATAACAAAGCTAATCCTTAAAGCTGTCATCTGTTACTTTTTACGTACCCAAATGGCACACATTCAGCATGGAGCAGTACCAAAAATGTAGATGTTTTTTGTGATGAAGCTTACTCATGGAAGATGCAGAGCGAGATCTTGTCATAAGCAATCACCTTGATTGGTAGTATCTATTACAGGCTAATGTGGATGGACAATACTGCTCTCATAAGTCATAGCCAGGAGGAATGTCAGCCCATTTTGGGTTACAAGTTGCAGGAATTCACTCAGAGAAAAATGAAGGAGGGTTTAGTACTGGTGCCAAGGATTGTTGACCTTTACATCCCAAGGTACTGCTCAAAAAGGTATTTCTTCATGTGTACCAAAGACATTTTAATTTCCTGGGATTTACAGCACCTGAAGGGGATCTGGATCCAAATACTCACTTTTTCCATACAAAGAGTAAAAATGAACCTCTATGATAGGAATATGTCCACAACAGAACAGGCAAATTTTGAAGACATATATAGATAATGGAAAAGCCACCAAGCAAAAGAATAAATGAAAAATTAAGGAAAAGGAAATATATGCAGCAAAAAAAGACAGGTGTAGGGTAACAGCAGTTTTAAGGGAAAGACTGCCATACAGCTGAATGACTGGAAGGAACTCAGGACCATATAGCCTGCACGATGTCTGTGTTCAAGGAACATGGAGTGGTGTAGCTTCATACCCAACACCCACTGCAAGGTGAAAAAGCTACAGTTTGAATGCTTGCTAGCAGTGGATAAGCAGTGAGCAGATGCTTTAAGAGGAGTAGCTCATGTGTCTGGATTCCCAGATAAGCTGTTCTGTGTGCCTGCACTCATCATCATCTCATAATACCCATCACATGAATACACAGATTTCTGTGTTGTGCTCAAGGTCCAGTCTGAGTAATCATAGTTTATCCCAATTTTCCTGTGCAGTTTCTACTGAGATATGGTTGTTGGTAGCCTAACAAAGATATGCTATGAAATTATGTGCTTTTGTGCATGTGCTGCATCACTGTGAATATCATAGTTGAAAAAGCAACACCAGTGAATGCAATTATAACACAGAATTTTTTAAGATAGGAAAAGACCCCTGAGATTGTCAGGTCCAACTGTTTACCAATAAACCATGTCCCCAGGTGCCACATTCAGACATTTTTTGAATGTTTCCACAGGTGGTGTTTCCACCACTTCCCTGTGTGGCTGTGGGCAAGATACCTTTGCTTTAGCTCCCATTAGCTGCATTGTTTGCAACAGAGCATGACCACAACACATTAGTGCTGCTCCATTACTTGTTTCATGTCTCCCTCGGAGTGGTACCCTGGGCCACCTCATTGTTTCTGCTCCTGAGGTGTGCACACTGTTTGTCCCTGATGAACCGTGGCCAACGCATGCACTCCCTCTTGTTGAACTCTGTTTTTCAATATTTTGCCCACAGCTGCCCAGGGAAGTGGTGTTAATGAGGCAAAGCTCAGCTTTCGGTAACTGAAAGCTTTCAGTAATTGAAAGCTGAGCTTTTGCTTCATTAACAGGAAAATACATATTAGTTTTCATACCTCTACATATGCTAATGACTAAAGGTACCCAAACTCCACCCAAACATGAAACTACTTCAATTATAACTTGACCTTTTTCCCTCCCTCAAAGACAACATATAAACATAGCAGAAGTGGGGAGGGAGTTCAGAGGAGATTCCATCTTTGTATCCTGGGACAATTGACAGGCTGTACCTATCTCGTCCCCTCATAGGGATGCCTATTGGGTAAGACTTGAACACTCAGCTACATAGAGTGCATCCTTGGGAAATTTGGAGTGCTGGCATGTGCTGTGATTGTACTTTTAGTGCTATATACTCACCTTGCAATTTAATGTGTTTGTTGCCATCTGTATTACTCATATTTTAAGTATTCACGTGTGCTTCTGTGGGCGATGTATTTATCATTGATAATCCAGTAAGAACCTGCATCTCTTTGCTCAATAAATGATGCCGGTTTGTATCTGGATGTGAGAGTCATTGACCATGACCAAACTTTCTAGTCCAGCCATGATAGTTCATTGGGTGTGACCAGACTTGTAGCATCTCGTACTGTTTGTGAATCTGTAATCGTGGTAGTTCTTACTGAACGTGACCGGACTTACAGTGCCACTGCATTTCTGTTGCTTAACGTTTCATTGGTTGTCACTCAGAATCAAAGCCCAGCTGCCAGCTTGTTCCAACACCTGACCACTCTTTCAGTGAAGAAATTCCTAGTATCCAGTCTAAACCTCCTCTGGCACAACCTGAGGCCATTTCCTCTCACCCTGTCACTTGTTAGAGAAGAGGCTGACCCCTACCTTGCTGCAAACTCTGCTCAGGTAGCTGTAGAGAGAGAATAAGGTCTCCCCTGAGCCTCCTTTTCTGCAGGCTGAAAAATCCTAACTCCCTCAGACACTCCTCATAAGACTTGTGTTCCACACCTCTCACCAGTCCCCTGCTCTTCTTGCGCCACACTCCTGCATCCCAGCACAGAAGGGAACTGAATCCCTTCCTGATTTGTCTTAAAAATCTGTGCAGGAGGGGAAAGTGAGGAAGAAAAGGAGATATTAGGATGGATTTCCTTCCAAAGTAATATTTAGGGGAAGAACACTAATTTGATGTTTTTGCTTAAATCTGACTGTAACAGTTTTAAATTACATGAATTATAAATGCTCATTGAGTGTTGCAAGGTAGAACTGCTTGGAGATGTTTCCTAAATAAGGTTGGATATAGGTTGATGGTTTGGACTTTTTAGTCTGATCCCAACTAAACATGGAACCACAAAGAATAAGCATCACAAATTTACAAAGACATACTATTTCACAGGTAATCAAATAATATATTAAGGTTTCCAAATACAGAGTTAGAACCCTAAATTTAGGGATCTATTTTTAAAAATCTATTTAAACACTGCTTAATAAGGAGAGTTGGAGGTTAACAGCCCTCCATTCTGCATTTGGTGTAAAGGTAATACTTATTCAAAAAGAACTGATGAGTGACTGGGACAAGATTTCTATACCCCACACCCCTAACCAGTGTTTATACATTCTTAAACCAAGTCCTCCTCAATTCCCCAAAGCTTTTTGTAATTTCATTGGCAGGGTGGGATTGAGGAGTGGAGATGGAGAGGTTCAGAACAAACAAAAGGGAAAGAAAAAGGTTGAGAACTATTTCAGCAAAATTCAGTATGGAGAAAATCCAATTAATCAGACAGAGCAATAAAAGAGTATGTAGAAAACACAATGATGAGGATACGTGGAACTGCACACAAAAAATGTAATTCACATTGCTTACAGTGGATTATTTTGCAGATGAGAGGACTATTTTGCTATTTAATGTTTTCTGAATATTCTATGAATTAGTACTTTGTTTTAAAAATGCTGTCTTGAGAAAAGATGAGTCTGCTTCTTAATAGCCCAGAATGACTCACAAGGCTTCATGGTTGACACCAATTGCATTTTAAAGGTCTTAGTTTACAAAAGTCTAATAAAAAATATTTTAGACAACTCTATATATTGAAATGTCTTTCAAAGCATTAGAATTTCCCTAAATATCACATATATTTTTCAAATAGGAGTTAATGCAGGAATAAAATGCTAATGAAATAAGCAAGCTAACCATAAATATACACTAAATGGGTAAATTTCATTTATATAAACTGTGAATGTCATTTTCTATCTGTAGGCCACACAGTGAAAACTGACAGAAAAATGTGATGCACTTTAAAGAGCAAGATCTCTGTGGTGACAGAAATCATGGAAAAGAAAATTATCTAGCTATTTCTAATATCTTGGGTTCATGTGAGAAAAAAAAACAGAACTGCCACTTCAAAGGGTTTTTTCTTAGTCTTCAAAAACTGCAGTAAATACTAGTACTATGCACAGTATCTATAGGACCTTTGCAATAGAAGAAACTACCTCTAATATGTGTTGTGCTCCTTCACGCACAATCTTGCGGCTTTTTTTTTTTTTTCCCTTACTGATTTTTTCTTACCTGTTTTACAAGTGAAAAAGGAAAGCATCACATTTTAACAAACATAGTTTGAAATTTGGCATCACATTCATGAATGGAAACAATTCAATGAAACCTTAAGACAACATAAAATGAGTTTTTTCAGCTTCATGATTAGTTGGTGTGTTTTTTTTGCTAATAAGCCAGTTTTCTTCACGTTGAATTCTGTAACAGAGAATATCAACAGTAATATTCTTCACAATCACTATGCAAAGGTATTCCTTATTGTTGCATATTCAGTTCACTTGCATTGTAATTGAATAAAATAAGGAAAGAATGACCATATGTAGTGTCATATCAAAGACATCCAATACACTTAACAGATGGGACACTGATCATTCTCCTATTCCATTCCTCCTCTTGAAATGTTTATTTTTCCCAGTGGAAGCCTGGAGTGACCTAATTCAAAACGGAGACATCTAGGTTTATCTGAGGGAAGCAAAGCAAAAATGGGTGTCTCATTTTACCTTGCAGCAAGGTCAAAGGAAGTTCTCTGATAGCTTCTGGAGATGTCTGCTGCTAAATAAGGCAGTGGAAGTATTTGCATTGTTTCCCCACAGCATACAATGAAATCTTCTAGCCACTTATGCTCCAAGTTTAGCTCTTAAAATATGAAGGATTTCAAGAAGTTTCAAACAGCTGATTGCCAGTAGGACTATGGATACTACTTAAATGTAAATACACAAACTTTGAAAGATTATAAGATTAATTGTGACAACATTCTTTTCTGATTTCTTATTTCATCTTATTTCTCCACATTCAGTTGAAGTCCAATTTCCCCTCAGTTTTGAATTCATCAGTGAGAATAAATGCCTACTTAAAAAACATACAGAGTATATTTCCTATCATATTTGACTGCTGTACTAACTGTGTTTACAAAGGTCCAGAATATCAGTAACCAGCACAAATTTTTGAAAGGAGGCTACATTTACATGAACTGAACAAACATTCTGACAAAGTCATTGAGGAAGCCAGAGCAGACAGTCTGCCACACCAGTCAAATATTAATACTGAAATACATTGAACATATATTGAACTGGGGACTGCTATCCTGGATGGGTCCTCTCCTGACTTTTTGTACTCTCCCATGGGAAATAGAAAAAGCCCTGATGTTGTGCAGACACTGTTCAGCAATAGCTGGAACACTGACGTGTTATCAACAGTACAAGCTGCTGTGAAGGAAATGGAATCTATCCCAGACAAAACCAGTACACCTATAAAGGTGACAAGTCAGAGTAGACACCTGAAAGCTGATATAGCACCAAAGTCCTCCCCTTAAAAACAAGCATTATATTCTCACTTTGCATGAAGTAACTAGATTTTTCATGTTGTTTTGACCACTCGATAAGTAACTATCTTTCCATGTCCACAACGTATGTAGGTATTTACATAAGAACAAGTTGTTCATTTGAAAGACAGCTAGCCAGTGGAATTCAGAAAATGATATATCTCATCCTAAAGTACACAGTTCTCTATAGTTAAATATATTTGCAGTGAGCTCCAATGGCCATGTTGAAGAGGTGTCTCAGCTCTAGTGGAGCCAAGGTAACTGACTGGCTCATTGCAGCTGCCTAAGAGTAGGTAGGTAGGCAAAATAAATGTTGCCACCCTTTTTTCCACATCTTGACAAAGAAAAATTTTAAATACATTTTTCTTTAGCTTAGGGAGATCTTTGCAAGTAAAAAGACAACTTTTTCCCTTCTCACCCCACCCCAATCTACCTTTCCTCAGCTACTTGTTGCTCCTAATTCAAAATACCAGATACAAGCTTTAAAATCTGCAGTAATTTAAAACCTCCTATTGGGAAAACACTTTTCTAGCCATGGAATATCATCTTGCAGCTGAAGTGTCTGTCAAAATGCGCAGATCTTCAATATTGTATTAGGACTTTAATTATGAAAGAATTCCTTTTAGACTTCAGTAGAGTCTGTGTTTAGACTAGGAAAAGTCCAAGAAAGGACCTTAACAGGTTAGCAAAGGACAGATGGAAAAGCAAGAGTCTATTTTATGCACGTGTGCATATCTTTACCCAATAGTGCAGGCAAACCTTTGAACCACCCACAGTATTTAATTTATTTGTTGACATGTGCATCATGCCAGATTCTGCAGCTACTGATATGGATTCCTTTTTGCAAAGACATATTAATGACATCCAGGATATATAGAGAAAAACCAACTGGAAACAGAATAAGCATTATTATTCCTTTTTTTTTTTTTCTTGCTAGCCAAGTCTACATTGATACAAGTGCTTATTACAGAAATCCTTATGAAATTTCTGTAGATATATTATAAAAACAGCCACAGGTATTTTCCCAGTTTATAATACTTCTTGGCTTTACTTTCAGTGTATATATACAATGCTTATTTGATAAATATTATTCAATTATAGAAGAAAACTAGTAAGCTAGCTGTCTGACAGGCATATTTCTGTTATGTTTTGGGTGGTTTTTTTTGGTTCATTTAATTTGCTTTATTCAGTTGTTTAGGGAAAATGGAGCCCGTAGATTTTCAGTAATAATTGAACTGCTGTGCTGAAAGAAGGAAAGAAAGAAAGAAAGAATAAACACACAGGGAAGTTTCTAACCACTGAACTAATCTGAAGAAAAACTACCCGTTTTTTTTACCTCTGCATCTGTACATTTAGAGAATTAAAATTTTGGGTGAAAAATGAACTGTCTTTATCCTTTGTAAAAAGAGAAGTAGTAAAACCTTACAGTGAAGACTGGCTTATAAAATCAGACATTTATGACTGAAGTTCTGAAGAACAAACCTTTAGTAAAAAATTTAAATCTATTTTTAAAGGCTTCTAGGTAATATGGGCAAATGTATTTTTTTTAATAAACAGGCATTCACACTATCTACCTTTATAATCTAAGACTCTTAATATAAGTTCTTAGCTGCTCATATTTTCAGCAGAGAGCAAGAAATTGCTGAAAAATATTCAGAATCATTCTCAAAAATATTCAGAATCATTCTCTTGAGACCTCACAGATTCCTAATGTAGGTACTTATACACCTGAAGTTAGATGGTGTGAAACTCACTTTCTGAAAAATGCAGTGTTAGGTTCTGAACACAGCTATCAAAAAATGTGCAGTGATGTCTTCTCGAAACAATAAATAGCTTGAAATAACAGTTCCAAAAGAGTTATGAAGCGTTCTTATTTTAGTTTTATTGCAAATTAATATAATATTGTAGACTAAGATGGTAATCATTTTACTCTGAGTAACAACATACAGGAGTGATACGGGAGGGGTGACTTGGAAAGTACTAAATTCAGTATTTTTTTCCTGTTCACATGTATAAAAAGAATAAATTAAAAATGAACTGCTGGTTCAAACTCTACAAAAACATGAATCCCAAAACCTTGTGATGGCCTTCTTACACTGATAATAAAGAGGTGAAAGTTGATTAAAATATATCCATATAACAGTACTTCTAAACTTTACAGTTCTGCAGAGATGTTCAACCAAGTAATGATTTTCTCTACCTGACAAAAAAATATTTCTTTCCCTCACGTAAAACCAAAACATCCCCAAGTAACTCCATCTCTTTTGTAAGTGTTCTGTAGATTGGCCATGTGCACCTTAAAGAAACAGCAACCCCCTCTCCTCTGCTTCAGAGGTTGCAAACTGTTTCATCAGAACAAAATCCTATTTGCAAAAAATTCAAGTTAGACAAGAAAACCAAACCAACCAACCNAAATGCTCACCAAAAAATTATCTCAATAAGCAAAAAAAATTGTTAATTGTAGGAGCATGAACTGTACGATCAGTAACTGTAAACTATCTTCTCTTGCTGATGAAACTGGTGGTACCCACAGTGCTTTTCTGAACAAAACACAGCTCCATGGACATCCAAAAACCTGGTACAAGCTTAGCTTTCCAGAAGTCCTGTTTTCACAAGCTGTGCAGAGCAGGTGAACTCAATGAGATAAGGGAACAAAAGGATAAAAACAGGCCAGACATCTCCAAAATGAGGTGATTGCTGGGCATGGGATTAAAAATTTGAAATTGGAAAAAGTCTGAAATTTGGAGCAGCACATTCCTATCTCTAAGAAATAACCTTGTAATAGCCCAGCATGTTGAATTTTTTACCAGAAACAAAGCTTGTGCCTTACTGAATTTTAAATGCAACAGATGATTTCCATGTCTTCTAAATGACGGTTAGTAACAATTCTTTTATGGGTCATTTTCCTCTTATCTGTAAAAATAACAATTATTTTGTAATAAGGAGAGAGGATTTGAGAAACTGGGCCCAAAATGCCATGGGAACCAAGTCCTCAACACCATTCTACCACTTTGCTTCTTTCCAGTCACAGAAATGTGTTCATGTTTTTCATTCCTCCTCCTTAGTCAAGAGGTGCAGTCCTGGTGCCCACATAACTCATGTTTTGTGAATGATAGAATATATTTACCAGTATGACAAGATTTATGCCAAATAATTAAAAATATTTTTTGTTGAAATTATCCACTATTATGGCAAAACACGTACCTTTTTTTACTAGGTTTTGTACAGATCATATGTGAGTTTGGAAGACATATTTTAATACATTCCTGTTGTATTTTGACCCATTAATCTGTATTAGAATTAGTTCTTACAAACTTTATTTGCAACACAAAGAGTGCATTGTGCTCCTACAACAGTTTTAAACACAAATACCTTTATATTTCGGAATTTAAATAATCATAAAATCAGAAGACATTCCCTTGAATATAGACAATAATGTATTCAACAATCTGGACAAACCATCTTTCTTCTGATGACTGAACTTGCATATCGGTGTAAAGAATTCCAGAAATACCTTCCTCTCTAAAGCAGTATTTTTTCTGTTCTTATTATTTAAACAATTTTAACAAGAATCCTTTAAAGACTTGGGTCACTGAGAGTAATATATCTTGGGAGAAAACTAACCTTTAAAGAGTGACAGGGAACTGTATCACCTATTAAAACACATCTATTGAGACTTAAAGGTCAAAGAAGTTGTACCTTCTCATAAATATAGTCCTTCATAGCTCTTTGGCTGAACACTCTTTTTACAAGGGCCTTTTTTCATTGCCTAGTATGAGGAGAGCTAGGAGAGAAAATCCAGCAGTTTTAAATATAGGAAGTCTATGGAATTTAATCCACCTAGTTACCTTTATAAACTTTTGAGATTATTACAGTTAAAAAAAAAATCAGCTCTTTTATCATAGTAAATACTTCTTTTACAGAATTTGAAAAAGGAAAAAAAACCCACTGACAGGGATAATTTTCTGGGCAAGGTGTCAAAAAAAATCTCAATATTTATCTCAACTTTTTTACTCCTTCATAAACCTCAGATATTTACAGAAGTCACTTGTGTAACCTGTCTGACCAAAACAATCAGAAGAAAGGTTAATAAAGTGGAGTGAAAAGTAGAAGTCTAGAGAAATAGGAGCTGTATGGAAACAGGTGCACAACGTGTCAATCTACAATCTACAAATGTTGTCTTGAACAGAATAAGCCATTAAATTCAGAAGATAAAAGGACACTGGAAGGTTTTTCATAATACATACAATATGAATACTTTTCTATGACTTAAAAAGGAAGCTTTTCTTTATTTTCATGCAACTTCATTAGGAAAATGCAGGAAATGCACTAAGATGAATCCATGACTAGCATGGTGATTATAAAAGGATTGCCCCAGAACATGAACTTTAACCAACCATTCTAAATATTCCTGATCCAAAGCAGGGTGCAAAAGTTCTTTGTGTGTAATATGCACATGCAGTTTTAGTCTTTTATCCCTCAGTTGATATGACTATCCCAAGTTTCTATGATTATCCAACTGGGTTGCTCTGTTATGAAAACTTCCCTGTCTGACCATCCAGGAGCCACTCTGTCAGTCACACTCCCACCACCCCAGACTTTCACTGGGTGCTGGGACTGAAGCCCCTTCACATCGGGCGACTCCAGTGACCTGATGGGTGCCCCACTGGACTCTCTGCACACCCCACACTCACAGTCAGACAAGATTTCCTTACCCAGCTCAGCCCTGAGTTTCCCGCAGCAGAGTGCCAGACACCTGGTTCCTTTAAATAATTTAATTGTGGCACAGTAACACAGAGACAGCTCCAACAGCTCGAGCTGCTGCCTCTGGGGAGGGACCCCAAAAACAAAGGAACCCCTCGGGCTTTTATACCCTCACAGTCTGTGCTCCTGACAGTCTGGGGTCTTCCTGCCAAGTTATGCATCTATTAACAGCATTCAGTAAAGGACATAATAAACATTTCTTCCTGTTTCTCGTCGCCTCTGAATTATCCACGCTACTAGCTGGTTGGATAACTTGGCCGATAATGTTAAAGGCTGAGTGAATATTTATTGTGGGCCTGACTGGATCAGTAGGACTTAATTTTTCTTCGCAAATGACAGCATGACCACCCTTCCCAGAGAAAGTAATGGGCTTTCCTTCATTAAAAACATCCCTTAAAAAACCTTGAATCTGTTTCTTTGGTTTTTTCTTCGCAAAATCTCTTCATGATACATGGGTTGACGGTAAGAAAATAACATTTCTCAGAAAAAAAACAACATGGGGAATCTTTCTGTTTTAAACACTTAGGTGGATTATGTTGTAAATACAAGAGATTGTCAATACTCTGTGTTGAAGAGAAGGACAGATGGACTCCAGTGAAGAAAAATTTAGAAAAAGAAAATAATTTCTATCCATTAAATATTTAATTAGCAGGGGTTTAAAGTATGCCTCCTGTAATTTTATTAGTGATGATAAGCAAACAAACAAACAAAAAAATCTAAGTTGCTAATACAGATAATTGAGCTGCACACAAAGCAGTGAGACTTCTGGTAAACCACAACCAGTGTCTGTAAACAGATAGGTCTTTCTAGTGCCTTGCTTTTAGTGCCCCTTTAAATTTTTACTTTCTATTACACTGGGAAAAAATAACTGCTAACATTCAAATGAGCTCAAGTACTCAAGGGTACCCAAGAGTTAAATCAAAGGACTTCTTATCACCCAGACTGAGGTTTCAGTTAAGACAAAAAACCCCTACTGGTTATTGTTTTTGCAACATCTTGATTATACAAAAATTGTGATTATTTTTTTATATTTCTCTTAGGAAAATAGGAGTTTAGTGAAGGCTGTGTGCTCTGTTTCATACAAACTCTGAGTCACAAAAAGTACTAGCAACATTTATCCTTTGTTCTACAGCTGTACACAGTTCAGGATATGCACAGTGGTAGGAGGACAAGCAGCAGACACAAGTTCCAACACAGGAAACTCCAACTAGATAACAGGAAGGGACAAAAATCACCTTGAAGACAGTCAAACATTGGAGCAGGGCCCTGCAGAGGTGGGGGAATATACCCGGCTTTGGAGATATTCAGACCTCCACTGGTTAAGGAACCACATCTAGTTAGATGTGTTACCAGCCTGAGGCTGAACTACATGACCTCTAGAGGACTTTTCCAATTTAATTACTGTATGAGTCTATGAAAAGAAAAAGAAATTCAGTCTTTCAGCCATTATTAAGGGTAATGAAACGTGGTTTACTGCAGATTATGCCTTATGATTGATGGCATGCTTCATTTTAAGTTTTTTTCCCCCACATTTTCAGCAAATTCACTGAACCTGTTCTCTAGATAAGCCTCCACATAATTTCTCTACTATTACATTTCTTATGACATTCTTTTTCTAATCATACAGTTAGAGAGTTTTTCCTAATAACTAACCTCAACATTTTTTCTTGCAGGTTAATCCAGCACTACCTTTTCCAACCCCCATTAAGCACTGATAAAAGTTGATCACTGTTTTCTAATTTTTTTTATTGTTTGAAAGATTGTCATAATGATTAGAATTACTTACCATTAATTTAGATCCCTACAGGTGAGCTACATGTCAAAGCTCCAATAACAGTCAATGGATAGTGAGCCAGAAGAGTCACTGGTAGTGCTGGTCAACTAACAATATTTAGGGACTTAAATTATTTTAAGTGGAGTCACTCTTGACCAAATTGATTCCCTGCCCAATGACCATAATGGGAGTTTCCTGTCTTACATGTAAGTTCCTCGAGCTAAGAAGCTGAATCCCATCCCATGTGTCCCTCTTAATTCTTCATTCTCAGGCTTTTTCTTGGGATGGGAATGATTACCTCAACCCTTCATTTGTTTTCATTATTAAGGAAACTTTAGGGCAGGGGCACTGGTAAGCAGCTGAAGTGAGTTTTATAGTAAGTAACCCCACCTACACAGACATGCACACAGAAAATTTTGGTTTCTACCTTCCCCAAATTTACCTCTATTTTTTCCATGACTCTTTAGTGACTGTTGAGGAATTTTTTTCATTTGCTTGTTTTAAAATCTTGCAGTTTTGCAGACTGTGTGAGCCCTCTCTCCATCTCAGTAGACTCCTATTCTTTCCAAGAAACTTTCAGCCTTCTCTTATTGCCCCAAAATGCACTTAAACTGGAAACATCCTCTAAATCCTGTTGTAAATTAAAAGCATGGTCTCCCTCTGTAGCTGATGGAAACAATAGGCACTTTATGTTGCAAAAGTCTGCATGCAAAAGCATGTAAACTTCTCTCTTTTTAATTGAATTAATAAACTTTCCCTTTTCATCTATACAACACCATTACACAGGCATCTTATTTAACCTATATTGTGCATGACATCTTTGACATTTTTGATTCCCATCAAGGAAGACTATAAGGCCCTGGTGGGGCAAGTGGAAAGTATTGGTGCCTAAGTTATCTTTTTTTTTCTTCATTTTACTCATCAGAGGAAAGGGTGCAGCCAAAAATAGACATTTTATGCAACAAATAGACATATTACAGCTTTGTGGCTTCACAAGGGTTTTGAATTTTGTGACAACAGGACGTTCTTTGATGACTATAGTCTGTTCAGAAGGGATGGGATCCAGCTGTCTAAAAGAGGCCAGGGGATCTTTGGCTGGCCAACTCAGTGAGCAGGCTTTAAATGGAAGGATTTGAAGGGCAAAGTCCAAAGTGCAACACTCACTGCATCACATCCAATTGGGAATTAGCCAGAGAAATACAAATGTTTCTTATCTGCCTCCCAAGATGAGATCCAGAAGGCAAACCACCTCAAGGGTGTCTATGGCTGTGGTGGATCCTCTTGCACCCCCTGCCTGGGAAACCTGTAGGATCAATTAGCTCTCTGAAATACCTGTACACCAACACCCACATCATGGGGAATAAACAGGTGGAATTAGAGATCCATATGTATGACCTTATTGCAGTTACAGACATGGTGGGATAGCTCTCATGACTGGAATGCTGTCGTGGAATGTTTTTAGGGCAAACAGGCCAGCAGGGTGAGGTGGTGGAGCTGCTCTTTATGTGACAGAGCAACAGGGATGTATCAAGCTCTGTCTAGGGGTGGGTGAAGAACGAGTGAAGAGCATATGAGTAAGAATTCCGTGTCAGGCCAACATGGTTGACACTGCTGTGGGTGTTTGCTACAGGCCACCTTGTCAGGAGAAGTCAGTGAGGACTTCTACAATCAGCTGCAAGGAGCCTCAAAGTCACAGGGCCTGGTTCTCATGGAGGCCCTACAATCACCCTGACCACTGCTGGAAGAACAACTCAGATGGGCACACAGGAGCCCAGGAGGTTCCTGCAGAACACTGATGATGATGCTTTGACACAGGTGGTGGAGGAGCCAGTGAGGAGAGGTGTGTTGCTGGACTTTGTACTGACAAACAAGGGAGGACTAGTTGGGGAAATGTAGAATCATAAAATCATGGAATCACTAAGGCTGGAAAAGCCCTCCAAGACCATCAAGTCCAGTCATTAACCATGTGAAGGCTGGGGGCAGCCTTGGCTGCAGTGACCATGAAATGGTGGAGTACAGGATATGGTATGGAGGAAGCTGGGTAATAAGTGGGGTTACAACCCTGGACTTCAGGAGAGAGAACTCTGGCCCCCTCAAGTACCTACTTGGAGCAATCCCATGGGTTAAGGATCTAGAAAGTAGAGGGGTCCAAGTTAGCTGGTCCAAGTGATGCTCAAGCATCACTTCCTCCAAGCTGAAGATTGATGCTTCCCTATGAATAAGAAATCAAGCAAAGGGGGGGCAGGAGATGTGTGTGGATGAGTAAAGAGTTTCTTGAAAAACTCGAAAGTAAGATGGAAGTTTATAGAATGTGGAAAAAGAGATAGGCTATTTGGAAGGAACATAGGGACATTGTCAGAGTGTTCAGGGATGTGATGAGGAAGGCTAAAGTCCACTTGGAATTAAAAGTCCTAAGGAATGTCAAGGACAACAAGAAGGGCTTTTGCACCAAAATATCCCTAACCTGTTTTCAAATTGCACAGTGAGCCTGTAAGATGGAATGGGTTATTTCTTATCAAAGCAGAAAAAGACTAATTGGTTGCATTTATAGTAGGATAATGAAGGCTGTGTAATATCATCCTGCTAATTCTATTTTGTTCTTTTAACAAAATAAAACCCAGTAACAACCAAGCTACAGGTTTTTTTTTTTAGCTCAATATCTATCTTTTAACATTCTGACTAATTTTTTTTAACATTTAAATGAACCTAATATAAATTTTTTAAAAAATATTTGATCTAAGTATCATTCTATAGCTCCTTTTTACATTACTGTGAAAGTATTTTATGTCTGAAATGTCTACTTGTAAGGCTTTTTGTATAATAATATTGAAACATACTTGTTAATGAAGCAATTGGCATTGTGTCCTGTTAAAAAGTAAAAGCCCTGAAAGCACTGACCTGTTTTCCT